CAAAAATAAAAATGTTAAGGGGAATATATATGTGTATATATATATTTTTTTTAAAGTAACAATATTGATATTGAGCTCTATATACAGTATACTGTGGTTTTTAAGCTGTTTCTAAGAGCCGTGCCAAAACAATTAGTCAATAGTCAACAACTCTTTTAGGTATTCAGTGGAGGGCTTTCATTAAAGGTCCCATATTATTAAAAGTCAGATTTCTATGTCTCTTTAAAAATAAAGCAGGTATAGGTGCTATGTGCTAAGTGCTCAGTCCACAGAGAAAAGCAGACAGTTTGTAATCAGAAACTGTGCCAGTGAACAAGCCATCAGGATTTCTGTGAATTTGCGATGTCACAACTATACTATATATTCTGTTTGTAACATAAACATTCAGAGTGGGTCCTTTTGTATTTCTTGTTGAAATGATTTGTAGTGTATATGAATGACACCAGCTGGCAGGATGTAAACATGGATCTAAGCAGTTGCCTTGCAATGTAATTCCAGTGAAATGGTTTATAAAGATAAAAGAACAAAGCATTTCAGGAGGAGGGTGATTACAGGTATATTCAGGCAGACAATATGAGGGAAATGTTGTTGTTTTTTAATCATTTAAGCATATAAATCTGTTCAAGACCACAAAATACATGTATGAACCTGAATAGGAGCATAATATGGGACCTTTAAGCAAAAATATTTACTAGTTCCAGTTTCACAAAAGTACAGACAGGTCATTTTTTCTATTTTGAGGGAACAAGTTATTATTTTGTGTGCACAAGACGATTAACAAAATAAAAAATATTACCTGTCTGGACTTTTGGGGCTCCTAACAATGTGAGAATTTGTACTTTTCTTGATTTTATATCCTTGTAAAAATCTTTGGGTGTCAAAGTGTTGGTTGGACAAAACAGGTAATATCATGCTGGGCTTTGGAATGTTTGATTGCAGGTTTTCGCTTTTGTGACAATTTATAGACAAATAAAAATCTATGAAATAACAAAAAGTCATGCTGATACACTGAATAGGGCTGCCAGTTCATTCTCAATGAATTACCAGTTCATTGAGCTCTTATTTCTTTGATTAAACATTGATTTTTTTTGTCTGAAGTGTTAAAAAGAGTCTTCAAAATACTGCTTTATCTGATGGTGGTCCAAAACTCAGATATTTAGTTACAATAATCTGCAGAAAAGCAGAAAATCCCCACATTTTTTAGTCAAATAAAACAATGAATCAACTCGTTTATTTCTTAAACTAACAGGACACAGAGAGAGAGAGAGAGAGGGAGAACAATTTCATCACATAAGACACAAACAATGTTGAGTGGGATTTTTTTTTGTTTGTTTTATTGTTATTATCAATTAAACAGTATGGTTTCTACAAACGCAAGAATTGATCACCAATAACAAAAGGGTTGCACATCTGTGAGACCTTTGTTTGGATATTCTTGGAAATAGACATAGAAGGGGATGTTATAAATAAATGTATCATACAATTTGAGGTATGCAGAGTAGCTTTGAGAATACAAATATGCCCATGCCTCCCCTCCCAGTGGTAAACACACTCATACACACTCACAAAATTGTGTGTATGCACACACACACACACACACACACACACACACACATATAGTTTTATCAGGGGAGCAGTTAACTGAACATGGATTACAACATCTGTATCAGACCTTCGAGATGAGACATTAAAAATACAACTGAATCTTCACGTGTCATTTACATCCCCCCTTTTTTTTGCCTCTTTCTCTTTTAAAAGTTAATGAGATGTTTGCATTGTAAAAACCACAGAGCCTTTCCAGTCCTGCCAGCCAAAGGCAAGTCACAGTACATTCTCCACCACGACCCATTTCAGCAACAACTGCTGCCGCCAAAAAACAGTGACAGACACCACTGATACTGTGTGTTTACCTTTTTGTGCCCGTAAAGTTCTGTCAGGATGTGCACAAATGAGCAGGTTGTTCATGGAAAACAAATCGCTTTTTGCAGATACATATTTAGCAGCGACACAATCTCATCAGCTGTGTGATCTGTGACGTCACAAACAGACCCACTTGGCTTCTATTCAAATACCAAAAAACTCGACACAATAAGCCTTCGTTAATTTACATTTTCAAATGTTTGAAAAGTCCTCGCTTTGGTGAACGTAGCTCGACAAGAAAAGCTGTGATTGATCAATGTCCTTTTTTTTTGAAAACAAAAGAATTTAAATGACGACAGGCCTTTTAAATCTCATCACAAGTTGATATGAACACGTAACGACCTCGACTCGGGTCTTTAAATCGCCTTCATGAGCTGAAGACATGACCCAACGTTTGGTCAAAAATGAGGTTTAGCATTCCTAAGAAGAAGAAGAGAAGGAAGAAGACACTGAGAGAGTTACGCACACGGGCACACAAATTAAAACAGACGCATGTACATTTACACACATACACGCTGTGACATCATAAGTCAGCACTATGTCATCAACACTGGCTTCTGACATCGTCATGCGGTTTCGTCTTTTCTAGTTGATTGCATCAGCTCTTTTTGTTCGAGAATACAAATGTTTTTTTCCTTTTTTCTCAACTCCACTATAAAGTTTGAATATTGAAAATCCAGGATTATACATTAAAATTCACAGAGATTAAAAAAATAAATACATGTTTAAGTAAAAGAAATCATGATAAGAGCGTTCGTCGTCTGATCCAGGGGGAATCTTTACACGTGTGATCATAAACCATTAACATGAGCACATGTACCATAGGAAAAGACTAAAAACGTCTGGCAGGAAGCTCCGCTCAGTAATCAATCATGTCTGTCTGTATCGAGGGGAAAGCTGAAAACCTCCAACAAGGCCTCATGAGTCCCTTAAACCCCATAAAGGGGAGATCCAACCTAAAAGGCTAGAAGGTCCATCTCACAGCCAGAAAAAAAATGTACAAAATATGACATCATCATGGCCATCTTTTCTCCCGTGACATACAAAGTAATCATGGTCGTGCGTTTTTGCACAAAAGTTCCTTTTCTTTGCAGAATTTCCTTGCACGTTTATCTTTTCTCCCTACACAAAAATAAAAAACATATGCACGAGCATGCCTCCCGACACTGACACGCAGAGGACGTGAAAATGAGAAGCAGACGCTGTACAGAGCACAGACACACAAAGATAATTCGGTATAGCCCTTGGTGTGAAGTGTCCGGTGTCCCCCGAGCCTGGAAACCCGTCTGCCCCCCAACCCTTCATACGAGGTGAGCAGCTCAACTTGCAGGTAACGTGGAAAATCGTAGAAGCACAAAGAAACCCTTGACTCTCTACAAACTCACAATGACAAGTTTAAAACAGTGTTTGAGGGATGTTTGGTCAGTCTGCATGAGGTTAGTTCTTCTTCATGAGCCGTCGGATTCAATAACTTTTTTCACTAATTATTACGCAAAGTGTCACAGCACAATGTTTCATAGATGATATACACCCACCAGACTTCACTGTACAAAGTTAAGCTAAAATCATACTGCAGAGTGAATTTTACTTTTAGAAGGGCAGTTCACCCCAACTCAAAAATACCTGTAAATTACCTGTTGTTTTATTCATCAAGTGTTGGAGATATCAGCCGCAGAGATGTCTCTAGTATAATAAAACTAGGGGCACTCTGCCTCTGGTGCTCAAGTACTGTTAGCTCCCTAGCTGAGGAAGATGCTAGACTAAGGCGATATCAATGGTGTCAACGTATACCAGCGGATTCCGGATGGTATGATTTTGAATACCGTAAAAATTACAGACACTCATCTTTCTATTGAGGATGCTTGGCAGGAAGTGCACATCACCTGCCACCAGAGGTCAGTCTGGTGCAACTGGTGGGGATAACATTACAGGAGCAACTGTAAACAGCCGGTCTAAATGACTAACGAGACAAGCCAAGACAGTTTATTTTGTGTCTGTTGAGTTTGAAGAAAGCAGTCCCTCCAGAAAACCGCAATCTCGCAATCGCAATAATTAACGCAAAATCAATGAAAGTCCGCAATATTTGCAGGGGCTTGCAATATTTCAGAAGTTTTTCCGCATTTTCCGGCGGTCCCGAAGTTGTCACACATGCAATGTCATTTGATACGTCTTCAGAAACGTCATCAAATGCGCTAATGGCATTGCAGTATGGAGAAACGCTCTGTATTGACATTATAATTTGCACTGTTTAAATGCATACAATATGTGTTGAATGTATTAAAATGTTATGTTTACAGAAGATGGAGCTTACATGTTGTTTTACAGTCACACTGAATGGTTTGAGAGCTACAATATTCACTCAGGATTTTGCAACATTATTGGAGTCCATGTTTTGAAATTAATTAAATAAAACTAAAAACAAAACTATAAAAAACATTTGCAGCTATTTTTGTAATATTCAGTATGATTATTATAGCAATTGATTACATGACTTATTTTTTTGGAGGTAGTAATTAAAAAAAAAAAATCACATTTTTTCTCCTTTTGTCATTAGCCACATTTTTGTCATTTGCCACAATTTCCCGCAAAAAAATCCCATAAAAATGCCGCAAATTTTACCAAAATTTTTGACACAATTGGCCGCAAATTCAAGTTTTTTTTGCCGCAAGATCCTGGAGGGACTCTTAAAGTGTGTTCAACAGTGAGTTTACAATGCAGTTGGGGTTGGGTTCACTGCACACAAATACTGCCATACACCATATACCCCACTGAAATTCCTGAAAGGTGTTAAGGTAAGAAATAAATACTGCCCAAGCCTAGAGGACACCATAAATGTTAACATCTCGCGCTGTCATGAGCACGAGCCTCTTGTCCATGTGTAGATGCACGCTTCCTTCTGCGCGATGATACAATTGGCAGGTGTAGTTCAGTAGAGAGAAAATAGTTCCTACATGAGACTGGTCACAACAAGGTCTGTCAAATGTATTTTTTTGGCACTTTGAGCACCACAAGCCCAGTGCCATCTACTATCATTATATTGGAGAGAAGAAATCGATATCTCAAACACTCTGCAACTCACACCAAAACAATCTAAATTCATAAACAGCACTACAGGTAAGATGAATAATATATGGGGTGAACTGTCCCTTTAAGGCCCGGTCACTCCAGCAAAATTAATTTGCACGCCTTTGCAAAATCTGTGGTGACATACTCATGGGGCTAGTTAGCAAACTACTCAACACTACCAAGGAGGACACATGCTAGTGCTGGTCAAACACTATCTCCCTTAGCTTCTTTCTATTTTGTCTAAACGGAGCCGTTTAAGTCAGTGAAGTTGTTTTATTGAAGAGGTAAACAAAAGTTTCTGAACCAGTAAGCTTTTTACTAACTGGCAGTAACAACCTTGTTAGCTCAGTCACAAACAGGACAACGGGTATAAAAAATTGAGTATTATCATTTTATTATTTTGCCACAAAATGCTTCTGTTGAACGACCCAGCTAAATGAAAATATACATTTTTGATGTTTTAATCCTGTGTCCCTGTGTTAATTGATCATTTATCTCGTTATATGTCAAATATGTTTTTAGAAAAATCTGTATTTTCACATCAAATTCCCTGTCTTTGCGCTTTTTGTAACAGTTTCAAATGTCTGACGAGTCATACTGCATTCAGGGTCTTAAACTTAACTTTAGGGAACTAGCTAGCTACAATGGTCATATAAAACTTCACTGTTAGTGGGTTGTAGTATGGAGCAGTATAGAGAGAGAAAGGAAGAGATGTGCGTTTGGATATCAGTGGGCAAAACCCTTATTTTCATTTCCAAAAGGCGGAGGTCTAATTCATTTATCTCTGCCTCATCCTCCATCTGATCTAATGCTGAGGGAGGTGTCTGGAGCCAAAAGTCCACTGTGGCTCCGTATAGAGCTAAACTCTAAGCCCTCCCACCTTTTAGCGGTCCAGTCAAATGCAAAGGATTTGATGAATCCCTCTGGTGACTGTACACCGCTTCAATATTCAGTTTCACTTGGAAACAGCAGAGAGACTAAAGACACTCACTGGGACTAATAATGCTGGTGTGACTGGGCCTTTATGACAGCAGCTTGTGTCGACATACTTTAGGTCCCCCCCCCCCCCCCCCCCCCCCAAATGATTTATATTCTATTTTTTTCTAGAGTTAATAAAGCCATAAAGGCAATCAAGTGACGGCTAACTGCACTTAGCTGGATTATTTTTGCAGAGAACGTTTAACTTTGATGATAGTCCAATCACAACTAGAGAAAGAAGGTCACATTTCCAGCCTTTAAGTCACAAACCGACTGGCTAAAGGATAAATATGTTTTAAACGAAGTATACACAAAGTCTTACAGGGCTCAGTAATGTCAATACAATTATTATTATTATCAGGTTAATTTCATACAAAAGCAACTCGTTTGGTTTTACATACTTTTTCATAAATACAAAGACAAGCAAACCCGTCTGTCTCTGCCTCGGCGCTCTCCATCATCCACAGTGGATTCAAAGACAGATGAATCTGTCGGAGCTCTCGAGGACTCAGAGGACAGTGCAATAAAACTCAAGGACAATTCAACAAATTTGACTCAGCGGGTATCCTTTAATAAAAGTCACAGCGAATACCCAGCAGCCTTTTAAACTGCACTCGAATGATATTTTTTGCTCTTTTTGAGTGGACATTTCTGTCTTCCCTTTTTCAAAGAATGGCTGAATATTCTTTTATTCAACACACAGAGTGACAAAGAGAAAATCAATTGGCTTCTCTCACTATGAGATTAATGTTGTCATCCACCACTTTGTTTTATGAAGGGGAGGGGGGGCTGTGAGGCAGCCAGGTGAGATCAAACCTCTTCCTCATTTCTTTTTTTCCTGTTCATCTCTCCACTTCATCTGCCCACTAAATGCCTCCTCACCTCTCTACTCTCGCTCTTCCTGTCTCTTTACCTCCCTCGTCCTCTCACACTGTCACCTCGTTCTTACTCCCAGTCCGCAGTCCCTGTACTCCTCCTCCTCCGGGGATGAAGTGCAGCTGTTCGATGGTGTTCTGCCTCTTGCTGGCGAAAGCCATCCGTCGGGCGTTGGGGTGGCCTCCTCCGCCTCCGCCGAGGTCCCAGCCGCCGTGCATTCCTATGCCCGCGGAGCTGCGGTCGCGGTCGCGGTCGTGGTCGCGGTCGTGGCCTGGCGTCGGGTGGGAGTTCATCTTGATCATGTGGTGGCGGTCCATGGATGGCGTGGCACAGATGTTCTGCTGTGACTGGGCCTTCTGGTGGTGGCTGAGTCGGCCCATGGTGGGCACCATCCCGCTTCCTCCCCCTCGGTCACCTCCTCCTGCGATCAGCAGGCCCATCAACAGCCGGTCCTCCATACGGTCAGGTGAGACCAGGAGCCTCTCATGGGACCTGGAACCAGAGAATCAGTTAATCTCTCTGACCTGTGAGAACAAAAAACATTTGAAAAACTCAACAGCAAAGTCTAGTTCCAGAAATCATGATACTCAAGACTCAAGTCACAGACCAAAACCTGCCTACCGTATCCCTGCACAGAAGGAAGCGTGCATCTGCTGCTAGCTCACCTAGCATCACTGAGCTATCTAACGTTACAGCTCAGCCGAGGAGGACTTCATAAATGTTAAAATCTTGCACTGCCACGAGCACAACCCTCTCATCCATGAGTAGATGCATGCTTCCTTTTGTGTAGTGATACGGTTGGTGAGTGTAGTTTGGTAGCAAAACAAGGTCTGTAGATTATCTTGAGTAGTTCCATTATATTGGAGAGGAGGCAGATAATAGTAACACAGTTTTTATAACATGATATATATCAATACGGAAAAAATACTCTTATTAAAAAACAACATTGTGATGTAATGGAATGCAATTTTCAAATCAAGTGTGGAAACAACCGGCCCTGTGGGCTTAATGAGCACACATGGTGCCCTACACTTCATGTAACATATGCGAGTTGTGGGTAGAAAACAATTAGTGATGCTCGCAGTGCTACCATGTGAAATGGCAAAGGCTGAGTCTAAATGCAGTCCACATGTTTACATATTACATTGTTTGCTGTAGCAAGTGTGTGCTGAAGCGACAAAGAGGGTCACAGTGGTTACGCTGAGAGCAGACAGGTGAACAGGTGTTGGCAACTGGAAGGAGGATGTGTGGTTATCCCACGTTTTTAAACACATGAAAAAATGCTTCTTTTGGAAAAAGGCTTAGTTTGAAATATGCTTTTTACACAACCTGTATCAAATTCAGAATATATTCATATTCAAAGTAGCAGTGAAATCTTATTGTCCATGGTGACAGTCAGTCAGCTTATTTGACTCATGAAAAAAGTCATACAAGGTAAAAGGTTTTAAAAATTGCAGAGTACTCTCACCTTGTTAGAATCTTAAAATCTTAATGAAAGCATTCCACTCTTGACATTTATTAAACATTACGCTCTTTGATTCTCTTTACTCTCATCATCTGATATCATTATGATTTCCTCCCATCTTTCATCTTTTCTTCTCTTTAGTATTTTCTCTGCTCCCTTATAACTTATCTTACCTGCGTAGCGTCTGTGAGTTGGAGCCCCTGCTGGTGCTCATCATGGCTTTGTAGTACTGGTGTTGCTGGTTCTTGGACAGACGGGACAGCGTGTTACCCTCCCCGAGCAGCTGGTCCTGGGAGCGGACGCGGCGTGGCGGCCTGTCGAAGGAGGAGCTGGTGTAGTGCGTCTGGGCGGGCAGCGGGTATGGGTTCGGGGTGGAGGGGATGTGGAGGCGGGGCCGTGAACCGTGGAGGGGCAGCGTTCCCCTGGATCCCAGCGTGTACTCGCCTCCAAAGGGCAGGTAGTGCTGCGAGGAGTGGAAGGAGGGCGGGGCGTTGGTGGAGCGACGTTTGGAGTTGTAGTAGCTGGAGTACTCGTCAAGTTCTTTCTCTGGTTCAGCAAAAAGAGACAGAAATGTGTAATATGTAAATATGGCTTTCGTAAAAGATGTGTTTCAAATTGTACATTTGATGCCTGACGAAGGTTCACAACTGAAATGTTGTGTCCATACTTAAGACCTCAGTGAGAGGTCTGAGGGCCCTCTCCCAGAAAAGAGACTTTGTTTCCTGCATTCTGGTGACTTTTAAAGACTGAAAATAACAAAATAATAGGTACGATAAGTACACTGCATCAGTGTTTTTATGGCAAATACATAAAATTTGATTTAGTTTTTGGTTGAGTACCAGTAGGACGGAGGGAGGCCAGACTGTAGGCTTGGCCAGCACCAGGGGCCCACAGCCAGCTGTCCACCCTGACCCACACACCTCTGGGTCCTGGATGTCTAAGCATGGTAAAACCAGAGGTTCACAGTCTCTGGAAGACAGCTGAGTACCCTGCCACGGCAGAGGAGGGCAAGCTGGTCCGTTCCCCAAGCCCCTAGGTACCCCTCAAGCCCCAGCTAGAGCGAACTGTTGGACCTATGCATGCATAACGCAGTGAACACACAGCTGAGGTGTCCACTGGCAGCCGTGCCCGACACATGACGGCCAAATTGGCGCCTCACTGAAGAGTCAAGGGACTTATACATGTTGTACAGTGTCAGAGACAGGTTGTGATACTGAAAAGAGAAAAAAGGGCATGGAAATTTGTAATAAATCAAGTAAAATTCAGGGGAATTGTGACCATGGGAGGAAACTGGGAGTCACTCAAGGAAAACCGGTAGGTTGGGAAGTATGGTTGTGTGTGAAATGCCCCCATTATGATCAATACTGGTGTCTCCAAATGGTTCTTATTTCCAACCAACAGTCCAAAACCCAAATCTATTCAATTTACAATGACACACACAAAAAAATCCTAACATTGGAGTAAGCTGGGACTACAATATGTTTTGCGTATGTGCTTGTTCAAATTATCTGATTATAAAAATTGTTGTTGTTTTTAATTTCCTGGCATTTCATTTTCATTTCATTGCATAAAATAAAGATTAAGAAAATATAGCATTGTAATCTGAGGACTTCTTGCCCACTTGGGTGAAATTATTGAAAAAGACGACTGGGTAAACTCCCTCTATTGGTGAAGATCATGCAACATGATAGAGAGCTAAATGGACCTTCCCAGCCAGCCACCAACGTTGTTAGACGTATTTGGTTGAATTTAGGTTGTGACGTCAGGTGACCAAAATTCAATGTCAGGACAGTATCTAATGCAAACGTTAATATGACGTTAGCATTTTGTTAGTTTTAAGTTGTGTTGTTAAATAACCAAAGTCCAACGTCTTTCAAACGTCTCATGGCAACGTCACTTTGGTAGGATAATGACGTCTACTCATGAGGTATGGAGACCAAAACTCAACATTCGTAAAACATGTTAATCTCCACACAACGTGAAACTCTAACATTGTTAGACATTTAAAATATTGTCAATCAAATTTGCATTCCAAACAAAATTTTATGTCTGTCAGATGCAAGAGTCCAAACTCTTAATGCCATACTGATGTCCAGTGCCAGCTGGGATGCTTTTTCTCAAATGTCCATTTTAAACCTCAAAACAAAAGATAAAAGTAGAGGGAAAAAAAATGGCAGAAAAGAAAGAAAAATACTAAAGAAGTGAAACAAAAGAAAAAAGACATATGCTTAAACGACAGGTGAAAAGGATTAGTTGACGCCAAAGACAATGAGTTAATTTCAAGGAAGACAAATAAAATGACTGCAATAATAAATAAATAAATAAACTTGTGTGGTAGAAAAGGGAGGTGAAACACCCCGACAGATAAGAGAGACAAATACAAAAGACAGACGAAGTGAGAGAGGTAGAGGACGAAAGGTGAAAAGGAAGCGATTGAGTAAGACGTGGACAGGAAGAGAAGACAGAAATGTCAAGAATGGCAGATGCATAAAGATACACTGTATATTGCATGAGGTATAAATGAACAAAGGTAACAGAAAACCCTCAAGACAAAAAGACAAAAGACGGACTGTAATATAGGTGAGAAGTTTAAAACAGTGACGAGATAGATCGCTTTAAATGACATGAAACAGAGACATAAAGTAAAGGCAGAAGAAAGAGACGTGGATGGAAGAGTAAGTGAGGTTCATTAATAGTGAAATACAGTGTTTCTGTGCTTTCTGCTCCATAGCCTCAGACCACTCTAATCTTCAAAGCATTTCCATGGAAGCAGCTCCCCAAGAGCCAATTTAAAGCTGACCTTTAACCAGCCACCTCTCTTCCTCTTCCTCCCCTCTCGCCTCGTCTTCTCTCCCTCTATCAGATCTCTTCCCCCCCATTCTCCTCTTCTTCTACTTGTTCTTTTGACTCTACCTCTTCTTTACTTTCCTGTATTTTCATCTCCCTCTCTGTCACTTCCCTTTCCCCCCCTCTCTTCCTCTTGCTCTCCAGGTTTTCGTTCTCCTCTCTCGCTGTTTGTCTCATGTCCTCTCCCTCCTCTCTCTGTTTATTCCCCTCCTGTAAGGCCAAATTATCTCGAGGTTTCTCCCTGGCTGCCAACCGCAGACAAAGAAGCCTTTATCAGTGTCCTTTCCGCAGTGCTGTGTGGGGAACTACATCAAAAGGACCAGGTTTCGCACAATGGCTGGCGAGAGGCTGTAGTCCCTGTCTTTTTGTCACAGTGACAACAATTTAGTTTGAAGAGGTGCTCCACCAAAACTGATATTCAGGATGTTTTTCTTTTCTGAAAAGCACATTTAATAATCAGATGTGTAAAAATACTTATTTGCTTTCAGTGTCATGCAACAGTGCAACAGTGACTCAGACTGGATGTGGTTTACAGTTTTCTGATGAAGTGATCAGTGCCTGCCAGATCTGCTCTCACAGGAAGTAACCTCAGGTGTTTGACTGGTTTGGAATAAACAGAAAAAAAGGAGCAACTATAGAAGAAAATAGGTTTAAGTATGAATTGTCATCCTCCAAACATCAAACGCGCTATGATGTTAATCGGCATGTCAAGTTGTGATGTGCTATACAAGAGTACTTCAATGAATACTTCATCCACAAAATGGCCGTTTGTGTATCAATTACTCACTGTGTTACCTTTTATTTGCAAAGAAAACTTTTTTTTGCGTGCCTCCACAATTACTGAGAATCCTAAAACAGGTTGTTAATACATTTAAGTAAAAAGTGAAGTAAAAAAAAAGTGCAGTATAATTCAAATAAAATTATTATGACTAAGATTCGGGAACAAGACACTTCCCCCTACCCTGTTCCTCTCCTCGTCTGTCTCAGCAGGGCGGCACAGTGGCTAAGCCAAGAGCGCTGCTGTCTCAAAACGAGAAGGTCTTGATATAAACCCCTACTGTAGGTGGATGACTCATTGAGACTTGTCCCCCACCCTGAGTCTAAAACCCCAGGGTTCACAAACCCTCCAGCCTCACTACCACTCCATGCATTCCCATGTACCTGACCCTTTTTCATCCCTCCCATCTTATCACACGCAAATCCAATCAGCCTTTGGGTCCAGATCACTGGGTGCAGTTACATGATGGCTTCTCATTTGGAATGAAATAAATCTGAAATAATTCGGAATTAAAGTTTTTCCAGGTAGTCTACATGGGAAATATTCATTCCGAACGAGGGTTTACACGGGAGATCAGTTTAATCGCCTTTAAATCGCCTTTATTCGGGTCCGCGCAAGGTTTGGGGCAGGGAAGGTTTCTGATTGGATAGGGGGCGGGGCGGATGTTACGTGTTTACGTTTACTGGAAGAAAACACTGTAGTCCTCGCTCCGGATAACAAGATGCTTGACGACGCCGTTCTTAGTGCCTTTTTCAGGCTTGTTTTGCTTATATTCTTGAAGCAGCAGTACGACAACAACCTTGTTCTGCTAATGCTTCGTCTGTTGAGGAGGAGAAGGGAGGTAGAACATAGAAATTAAAAATAATGTTTCAGCTCGGGACCATCTCTTGTTTTTCGAAGCTGCCATCTTGACGCGCACACGCTATATACGTCATCGCGCAGGAAGGGCAAGGAAACGAGCATGCGCAGAAGGACTGGAATGAACTTAAAGAGGAATGAGTGTATACAAGTGCGAGAAATTATTTCATTCGGAATTAGAAACGGAATATTCCAGCCCCTTACATCGGAATGAATTTTCAATCGCATTGGCCATTTTCATTTCAAATTAGGTGTTTACAAGATCACATTTAATAGGAATGAACTTTCATTCCGAATGAAAAGGGAATTAAACTGTCCATGTAAACGTGCTCATTCTCTGGCAGATGACCCCCCCTTCATCCCTCCTCTTGACCCCAATCATTCAATTGAACTTTACACCCACCCCATCTTTCCCTAATCCTCTAGTCATCCCAAATAAAACTTTTATTATACCATACATACAGTAAAGTCTTGTTTATCCAGTTGTATGCTCAGTACTTCCTAAACACATGAATTTTTGCTAAAACATTATGATTTAAAACACATCAGTACAAACAGTCTCATGCCCGACTGAGTAGTGTACCTGAGTACATGCATGTGTTTGAATTCTGGTCAGGCTCACTTGGGGCATGCTTCTTATAGACAGAAGTGTCTATATGTGTTTGGAAAGTACTGGGCAAATGACGGGATAAATGAGACTTGGATTATACTGCACAAGTTGTGTGAGGTTTTATAAAGAGATGTTTTGATATTTGGTTGCCGTTGTTCAACAAATTCAAGGTAACGTGACCGAGTATCTGATATACAAGTGGTCTTTTTGCCCAAGTATTCTTTCAAGACTTAAGTCATTGCCATAACTGAAAATGGCATTTTTCTGTCTATATATGTATAGTTTTTATCTGCTTAGTGTCCAACTAGAAGTCTGACATTATACTAACAAAGTAGTCTTATAACTTGTTTGGTTAAGTTTGCAGCCCACGCAGGCTCTCTGCATGTCTGCAGAAAGGCCGTAGAAAGGCCAGTTGGGGCATCTTGTGGCCTTTATGAACTTTGAGCAGCTGAACTTTACTGTTACGCAACAAGAAAGAAGTTTGAGGCACAATGATGGAGCAGAGAGAGAAAACTGAGAGAACCTAGAGCACAAAGGTGATGCAGTGAACACTTTCTGAATGGTAGGTTAACTCTGGGAAGTGCAGTGTTAAAACACCACAAAAGTGTGCACGTAACCTCGGGGCCGAGCTCAGATTCTGTGGATGTAGTGTGTTTTCGCTGGCTCTCTGGCTTTTGCTCAAACTACAAGTTGTACTTCCTAATTTTTGTACTTCTGCTGCCACCACAGACACAGAGAATGGAAGTGAATCCAGAGAGATCACTCTCTTTCTCTCTCTCTAAGCTGAGATCAAATAGTAAAACTCTGCAGCGCTGTTCAAATATAAACCGTGTTACTGTGTTGCCTCTCTCACCTAAAATGTTCTAAGAAACATATCTTAATGTAGTTTTTAACTGTAAAATGAGATTGTTTGATAACAGCTGTTTTCGGATGGGCAACTCGCATAACGTCAGCAACCAGCAGGAGCGTTTATTGGTCCAAGCGGTGCAGTGCATTCTGGTAGTTGTAGGTTTTGTACCTCTTGAGCAAAAGTGAAATGCACAGCACTTTTTCTGTTTTCTCTGGTCATGTAGCACCAATTTCAAAAGTATCTGTGTCTTTCTACTGCATAGACAGCCCAGTTTTATGAAAAAACCCTCTTTCCAGCAGTGAAATACTTTGTTCTAGGTTAAGTGTGTAGGATTTAGAGGGATATATTGTCAGAAATGAAATATAATATAATAAGTATTTTGTCGTTAGTGTATGATCACCTGAAAATAAGAATCATTATGTTTTCGTGACCTTAGAGTGAGCTGTTTATATCCACACATGAAGCAGGTCCTCGTCTATTAATTCTCTATGTTGCACCGCCATGTTTCTACAGTAGCCCAGAGCGGACAAACCAAACACTGGCTCTAGAGAGGGTAATTTGCGCTTTCGTGTCAGCCACCGTAGTTAGCAGCCCCCTGGCAAGCAGCGTCACAGAAGCATTGAATTTTTTTTAGGATAATTTGGCTCCCAGTAAAAACCTCCTGAACATATGGATCTTAAGTTAAAAAAGGTGAGCACACATTAGCAGGGGCTGGGCTAGCAGGTCATCTCCGACATGCCAAACAGCATTGAAGAAACACTGATTTGTACAGTGAAACTGTGAAACTACCGGTTTTAATCACCAGCTCCATTTGTTTTGGAGAGGAAGAGACTCCTGCGGAAAATATGGTCCCAAATAAAACCTTCTTAACAATGAACACTGAAGAAATCCTAACCTGTAGCTCACGTGGCACATGGAGGAGGTTTCAGCTGGTTGCAAATCTGCAATCCTCACTCCAGGGTGCCATTAAATCCCCCTAAATCTTACACACTGGATTCCAATAGATGTGCACAAACGTACCTATCTATAAAGTGATTTGTTCAATCATCTGAGATGCAATTATGTGCATGAAAAATGGCAGAAAAAGAAAAGTGAATGAAGGGTTGAGCATTTGTTTCTATCATCTGCAAAACCTAAAGCATGATGTCATGGTCAGTTTCAGTGATCTGAACCATAAGCAGTTGCTAATAACGCGACAGAGCTGCTGCTTCATAAACAAGACGATGAGGGGAAGTGGGATGACCTCTGAAGGTCTGATATGTAATGAGCAGAAGCCATTTCCGATCGTCTGTTCAAGTGTTTTCGCCTTTTGACTCAATGGAAATAATAAAAGAGACTCCTCTGAACTTTCATCATGTTATTGCTTCCACTTCCACGTTGTGCCATGCTGCGTGCGCACGCACACACACAGACACACAGACACACACACACGCCAACATAAGATCCCCGATGAAGTAACCATCCATCACTCAGCCTGCAGAGGCGACTCCCCTCCCCCTGCAGTCTTCAGCAATATCAGGGTGAGAGAGGTAAGGACGAAGGAGGGGGAGAGGGAGGTTGCCATCCACTGCCTCTTAAACATCTTTTCTTCCCTGTCGAAGGCAGCCAGGCCCCTGCAGACCAGCAGCCAACGCCCCTCCCCCTATCTCCACATCTCCCTCCGATACTTTCTTCCGTTGCCTCTCCCTTCATTCTTCTCCTTCTGCTCAGTCGACCTCTCTGCATCTCTGTCTTCACTGATCTCTTTTTTTCCTTCCTGTTGTATCTTTATCTGGCCAATCAGCTCTTGAACTGCCTCCATAATCCTTTTCTTCTGGTCAACCAACCTCTTTCTCTACATTTGTACTCCAGTGTTTTCATCCTCGTTGCCTTTTTGCCCGTCTTTCAATTTCCCCCAATCCCCCTTTCCTCTGCCCCTCCCTACTTCCTCTCTGACTCCATCATTCTGCCTCTCCTGGTCTTTCTTTTCTTCATTTCCAACCTTTCCCTTCTTCGTCATCCATCTCACTGTTTTTCTTTCTTTGCTCCACTCCCTTCATTACTGTCCCCACTTTCTGCTTCGCTTTGTTTACTTTACTGTTACGACTGTTTAGCAGAAACAGTTTACACTTTCAGACCACACTGAGATGATTATTTGTGTTTTTTTGCAGCTGAGTCATAAATCTCCTGGCGGCCATGTCTGCCCGCTGCTCTAATGGAGGTTCACTAGAAAATCAGCTGTGTGAAGGTCTAACTGACCCGGACACAAACAGAGAAATACCTGGAGAGAAAGGTGTGGGGTGGGAAGGGACAAGTTTATTTGAGAATAACTGGCTCATAGTGTATTTGTCTGATGTTCATCAGATGTTTGCCTGATGAAAGATGCTATCAAGCTGAATTATGGGAAAAGTAGGATCCAGTGTTTTTGGAGCTTGACCCACACCACGGATTAAAATTCAGAATATCTTGACCTCTGATCCTTAAAATCTGTTTACTGTGGAAGTGCAACACTAAGTCGCTGGAGGACGCCTTTAAAAGGAACCCTCCACAGAACACCTGTCTTTTTCATGATCAAATACTGTTTTACAATTAAAAGGTTTTCCAAACAAGAAGGAACTTTTTCTTGAGTATAATCAACCTCTCTGCTGTTGAATCACATTTTCTGTTCAGTATGTTCCAAACACTCTAAGTTTTCCCTCAACGTAACTAAATATATGACTTCCACCACCTGCTCACTCTTCCACAGCTTCAGCAGAAGAGGCAAATTTACTTTTTTGGGCACGGTGTGGTTTGTTAATTTGGACCCAATCTCGGAACCCATTCGCTTTTGGTCTGACGATGACAAAGGCTCTGGGGACAGCGGGAAGTATTTCGGGCGGATCCAGTGTAGCAAGCAGATATCTGGGCTGTGACTTCCTCTTCTATGCACTAGTCATTTCGGACAATCTCTAATAACAGATTTCTGTATATTATTAATGCAGACAAATGAAAAACAACTGAATAAAAAGCTAACTAGTCATCAGATGATAGCCAGTGGGTTCTGAAATTGCATTTCAGCCGATGTATTCTGCCTCTTTTGCTCTCTACAAAGACTGTTTACGCTCAAAAGTGATTGCTCAATACTACTCACACTACAAACAAAAACCAAAATGCTTCTGATGCCATAATCTTGTCTTGTTGCCTACAGGTTCTGCACATACATGCAGATATCTGTTTAACAGGATCAATTTGGCCCGAATGCTAAAAAAATGTTTGTTAGGCTGCAAGCGGGGCTCAAACTACAGGGGAGCCAGGGGGAGCTTGGTTCCTCTTAATGAGACATGAGCTCCCCTGAAAACATGATTTGTCAAAGTTTGGGGGTCTCGAAAACTATTGACAATATGCTTTTTTGTGATGCATTTATATTTATATGTATGTTCATCATCATGGATTATGTGCATGTGGGTGATCATCACTAAGTCACTCTGAAGTGCAACACACACCGCTGCCGGCACGGCGCTGTGGCCGTCAAGGGCCGCCCCCCAACACACACTGGCAGCGGCACCGTCAACATGTATTTCCCACCCCAGCCCTCTAGGTGGCTGTACCTACACTAGTTGCCAACGGTTGCCAACTGCTAGTAACAGAAGAAGAAGAGGAAAAACTTTGAGGCAACAACAACTTGAATTTCACGGATGAGTTTCTTATCAAAGTCGTCTTATTAAAAATTTGAAACAACCGGAGTTGATCCTACGAGACAAGACGTACATAAAAGGCTTTTCTCGCAGCGCCGCCATGAGCGCCAGCCGCGCTGGAAATAGAGCAGTGGGCTGAAGCAGAGCGGCGCGGCGCGGCGCGGCGGCCGGTGCCAGTGTGGGTTGGTTCATAGAATATAATGGAGGCGGGCGTTTTGACGCGCGGCGTATGGCGGCGGTGTGTGTTGCACTTAATAAAGACACAGGCATGCAAGCTATATGCCCATGTGGAGGTTTGATGTGGTCATTAACTAATTATCAGATGTGCTGACATGGCAGCTATTTCTATTTCTGTACAAAAGTAAGAAAGTAGAAACATAAAGTTTAAACATATTACAATAAAATAAATATTGATTTATAAATTGCTGCATGTGATATGAATAAATCAGTGAAATTGTATGTGAAAATGTTCTCTAAAAAGTGAGATGATTTATGATTATTTACACAACACATCACAAATTGTCCTTCTATAATTGGGACAGCCAGTATTTAGCTCGGGATAGTTTAAATTGTATTTCAGGACAATGGTTCAGTGGTGAACAAAGTTAGAGCTCTGAACACAACTGACACTTCCAGTGTGGCTGCTAGTTGGTGTGTTGCATCACCTGAAAGCTCTCAGTGGTCCTGAATAATCAATTAGTCCCATTTTTCTCCCCCTTTCCTCCAGTTCCCCTCATTCCCTCTCCTCTGTTTTCATCCCTTCATCTCCCCCCCAGCTTACCCAGCCTCTTTAGGGAGCTGTAGCGGTTGAGCTCAGGTTTCATGGCTGCCTCATAGGATGGCGGCAGCTGGGCGAGGTTGTGGAAGGAGTGGGAGAAGGACGGGTGGCTGCTGTTGTGTCTCATGCCTCCACCGATGATGCTGCTGCCACTGATGCCACCGCCACCAGGACCTTTACTGCTACCTGAGAGCAGGGTGGGTCCAGAGGGGAGCTGGGAGGTGTTGTTCATACGTGGTCCACGCTCTGGACAGAGGGAGAGTATAACGAAGAGAACAGAAGAAAGAGGGTGAAGGAGGGAGGAGAGGGTAGAGAAGTGAGAAGGATGAGGGAGAAAATAAACAGAGCACAAAAAAAGAAAAAAAAAGAAACGACAAGAAGAAGCATGCAAGAGGAGAGGAAGAGAAGAGATGAGATGAGAAAGAGATAAGAAAGCGAGAAATTCAAAGAAATAGACAGAAATGGAAAAAAAGAAGAAACAGGCAGAAGAAGAAGATACAGGCTGGTTAATAATCAGCAAACACAGGAAGTGCCTCCGAGCTCCATGGCGACCATCTATAAATACAACTCGGTACTGTTCATCTGGGGCTCCAACACAAACATATCAGCCACATGTAAATACATAGAAATACACTGATAGCATCAGGAAGGGATTCTACATACACACATTCACATTTATGCAAAGTGCAAAAGCAGCACATTGATCAATACACATAAAAATGATCTGCCTTATGTAAGATCAGCAGTATGGGGGAGGGGCATGGGTGTCTGTTTTGCAACACGTATATCAGTTACATCATACAGTATATGAGTACATTCATGTTTTCCAAACAGCAAACAGACGGCACTCTTAATGACCCAACATGTAGGAGCACTCAGCGGTGACCTCACATGTGTAGGTTCTGCACATTTAAATAGGGACAATGAGCTAAAAGGGACAGCTGAGATCACATGCTGCCTACTGTTGCATCATCTTCAATCACTGGGGAGATTTACACAGAGAGAACAGGGGAGACTTCATTAATTGCTGAGTGACAGCAGCAGGTGTTTAAAAAAAAGGGTTCAAAATGTGAAAATATGAAGCAGCAATAAAAAATTAGGCAAGTCTGGACAATTGGCCATTTGCTGTCGTTTCCTGTCTTTGAGACACAATCGATGTGAGTGCGTTCAGGGTGGTAATGGTTATGAGCTGCGATCTTGTTAAGATTACTGCTGGACATATACTGGTCATTGACCACTGACAGTAATGGGCAATAATGGCCAATAATGTCTCTGTTAAGTGTCACCCAGTTACACACACACGGTGGGAGAAAAAAGCAATGCTAGCTGTGAGATCTAAACATGTAGAATAAATGAATATGGGTGCTCAGCCAATATTTGATCTCAATATGGGCATGCACTAAGACTTGAACCTGCTTCTGACCTGACCTTTGAGCTGTACAACTCATTTTAGAATCAGACTCAATTTTAGTTTTGTTGGCTGTCATTTAATGCTATTTAAAGTACAAAATATGAGTGACTGTAATCCAGTATAGTTACAGTTAAAATTGGTGGTATTCTGAAGACAGTTACTGTCTTTAAAAGGACAGTACTTAAAATCATTATTTATTTGTTTTTGTTTTATTTGCTCCAACACTGTGTCCAAACTGAGAGCATAAGATTGACTGCATTGTTTTTTACTGGGACATTCTAGCCGGCTGCGAGTGCCGCAGTGCTGACGTTTTGAGCTGAGCTTTTGTCATGCACCCTGTTTCTATTTATTCCTGCCTCTCACTTTGTGAGCTCCGTAATGGACAAGGAACAGTTGATTTTTGAAGCTGAAGTGAGAAGTTATGTACACAACACCACCGCATTTAACAACAGTAACCTACATAAGGTGGCAGCTGGCTGGAGGGAGATCACCAGACAGTTGGTCTTTGTGGTATATTTTGTGTCCCAACCCTACTGTGATTCCATAGAAAAGTGACAGTGACAAGTGTAGCGTTTTACCCAAAGTTCAACATTTTTTAAATCTCTGCTACCAGAAAAAACACCAAAAGTGCAGCGCTCAGAGCAGAACAGCCGCTCAGCTCCTTGTCACACTGGCGATGTTTGTAGCATAGTGTAAATACCCAGCATTTCAGAGTCCCATTGGAACACTGGCCTCAAGCTTTGGTGGACGCACAACACCAGGTAGAGCACACTCAGTGCACTTGAGCTGATTTAGTTAGTCTAGAGATAATGTTCAGATTTTTTCCCCCATCAATCAATCAACTGGTTAAGGAGTAGATAGAATTTTAGTGAATCAACATTTCCTTTGGTTTTCCACAGCCCAATTAAGAAGAAACTAGTTCAGTATTCTCAGTACAGACATTATGGCAGAGTAGAACCACTGTTGTAAAAATCCAAACCATGTATGCTGTTAGCAATACATGAATTATACTTTGTAATTGAGCAAACTAATGCAGGGTTGCAAACTGTTCACTGCCCTGACATCAGCTGTAGTGATCTGTATCACTGATAATGTGAAAACGACAATTCCACAACAGTGTTGATCCCTGGCATCTCTCTTTTAGTTTATCCGATATTGCTTCCGGTGATCTGCCCCAAAAATCCTGGTCGGAGCACCCTCAAATATAGGCATCACATATTGAAGTGTACTATGACACAGAATCAGCCAAGTCATTTCTAAGAGTGCAAGGAAATAGATTTTTTTGTAACACCTACGATGGCTGACAGAGAGGTTTGATAATGGTGTCATAGAAAGATGAACTTTGTTCAATGTGCTGCACAGTATCTGACTCAGAGAGTTGAAGTGTTCTGCTCTTGTATCCTCCCAGGAGAAACTGGCATTACCTAACACAGGAAGAGTGAGGATGGAACTGAAGGACGAATAATAGATTCAAGTTTTCTGATCTCAACTTTATAACTAAAACTTTCATGACGGGATTGGCAAACAAGTGAAATAGAATCGTGAAGGTTCATGGTATTGATTATGCACATACACCGAAAACACTGACAATGTTTCTGTTAATTAAATGCAATTTGTTAATCAATTACTCACCGCTAGTTACATTAATTCATGAAGAATTTTTTTTTTTGCACATGCCTCCACAGTGAATGGAGAATCCAAAAAGGCAAACATTCTTCATGAATTAAATAATGACGGAAAAACTGTATCAAAACATGAGTTTATAAAGTGTCACACAACTCATGCTGTATGATCCAAGCCTCATTTATCCAGTCGTATGCTCAGTAATTTCCAAACGTGCATTTTTACTGAAACATTCCAATTTAAAACAAGTCATTACAAACAGTCTCATGCATCGACCAGGCTCAAGTGGAGCTCATATGCGCATGCTCAGGGCACGCTATGGGTAAGCGGAAATGCTCAAAATTGTAACATTTTAGTGAAAATGCATGCATGAAGCACTGAGTAGGTTTGGGCGGAATCACGGTATTACAGTAAACCAGGGTGTTTTGAAATCCTGACGCTATGATTTTCAATGCCATCAAAAGTGCTTCTAACTAAGTTAGCTTCTAACTACTTATGCTCCAAGTCATGACCTGAGTTCCTCAAGTCTACCCCCGCTAGTCATCTTTTGTTTGAGGTTGGTAACTAAAGGTGACCGGGCCTTTGTCATTAAGGCCCCGAGGCTCTGGAATTCTCTTCCTGAGGAGATTAGGCTGGCTAGCACATTACCCATTTCTATAGGAAAGCTTTTCCATGATTTGTACTTTCTGATTTGTAATTTTTGTGTTTTATTTCCTTTTGTTCTTTTCTTGCCTCTGTACGCACTATTTTTCTTAGCTCGGAACATTTTTGTTTAGAATATTGTGTTGTTTTATTTTCATGCACTTTGTGAAGGACTTTGTAACCTTGTTTAGATAAGTGCTATACAAATAAAATGTATTACTATTATTATTATTATTATTATTATTATTATTATTATTATATTATTTTGTGGGCCAAGTATTCTTTTAAAATGTCAAAGACTTTAAATACATTTTAAACAACCTCCTTGCCATTTAATTCTGTCTATCACCCCGTATTAAAAGCGAACCCTTCAGCAAAAACAGCACTACAAAATAAGTACATTATTTGTAACTTTAGAAAGAATCAAAGCACTACTTCTAAACTGTTTAACAGTTACAAATCTTTTAAATATAAGGCATCTTGACTTTCTGGTTGACAATCTTTGCTCACAGCACACATAAAATCACAATCTAAACTAATTTGTACTGTAACTTTTATTCTTCACTGTTGCCTTCTTGTGTAACTCATCCCCTGAGGGACACGTGTGGGTGTAATGGTTTGGAATAATTGGCACTGAAACAACTTAAAAAGTTCAGTGAAAATCATGCGTGTTCCCTATGCCACGGCAACCTTATTGAGTCTTCTGTAGCAGCCATGTTAGATGCACCAAATCAGCCTTCATGAGCGATGATTTGACAATGACATCTCAATTTATTTCCTGAGAACAACTGTAACAGCATTTGCTGGGAGATTAATCACTCGTGCTAGCATTGCTTTCTTGTTTTCTTGGTGCAAAGCCTGGGAAAACAGAGTCAGGTAAAGTGCAGTGACCTCGCTTAAGCCCAGACCTCCTGTAATATGTAGTGTCAGCTGTAAGCACAGTCGCACATCACTGCTACACAGAAAGGAGAAGAGGAAGAAGAAGAAGCACATTTGGAAGCAGGCTTGTGGTAGTAAGTGGGTGGTGGTGAAGGGGAGGACAGGCTTGCATTAAGCAGAGGGCAGGCCAGACAACTTTTAGCTCACACTCTTATCAAAGATGTGTCACTGTCAACACAACCAGATACACATTCAAATCTTTGAAACAAAGCAGTGTTGAAGGCGGCACAGCTGTTGTAAGAGTGCAGGACAACAGGCCGTCATACCAACAACAAGACAGACAGACAGTGTGGTAGTGAGGCCGTGGATCCGGCCGGCGGCTCGTTCGCCGCCTGTGCTGGACCGTGCTGCTGACCACAAGGCTTACCGATGGTAGCAGAGTGTTTGGGGCTGGAGGCAGACCCCTGCTGGTTAAAATGGTGGGGCAAGTTCCCAGCTGCAAAGAGAGCAGAGCCGACAAACTGATGGACAACCACTCCAGAGACACAGAGCCATGTGTCGAGTAAGCATTTGTGTCAGTAGAGACAGAGAGAGGACAGAAAGATAGAGACAGGGTAGAGACAGACAGTCCCACCAGGAATTGGCTTTTCTTTCTTTAGATAGTTTTACTTTACTGACACACATTTCAACAATAAACTCAAACTGCTGATAAACATCATGTCTTTTCATGCCTTCAGCAGCTCTACAGAGGAGATTAAAGAATGTTTTATGCTCCATTAGAAGTTTAAATTATTCAGTGTTCATTCAATCTGTTTGTTGTTTGAATACTATGAAAAGAACACAATATCTTAAACAAATCACTTTACAATTTTAAAGTCAAGAATTATGTGCAAAAAGTCAGGTTTCATGTGTTTGTTTTGGGTGATGTTAAAGTCAATCCATTTTAATAAAATGTGGACTATGAGCAGAGGTTGCACTGACTGACTGACTGACTGACCGTAACTTTAAGTTATTCACACCCCTGTCCAGTTGATGGTGTGTATGCATATTAATTAGCCACTGTCTAGTCTTGCTTTTGACTCACATACATGATCTCATTGTGTAGCTGGCTTTAGCCAAAGAGGTTGCCTTGGTTACCTCTTTTCTTTAGCCATCACATTGATAGGCTATTTTGCTACACACCATTGCAAAATGGCAAAATAGCTGAGTGTCCAAAGTTTCTTTTAAAAGCCCAATATTTGTGACACCATTGATAAACGAGGTGAAAAAAGTAGGTCTGGTCAGTTTAATGTCTGCACAATTTAACACAGCATCAGCAGCTAACATAAAACATCGAGTCGTTAACAGTCCCAACAAAGTCACAACAACACCTTGACTGCTTGATTCTATTGTTATATTAGTTATTAACAGTGAGGTAAGATTGGCTTTGTGTTGTTAACAGTTAGTGTGTGTGTGCAAGTGGACTCTCACAAGCTCACACTCCTGTAGCAGTCTCATGATAAACAGAGTGAGAGCAGGGCAAAAACAGGCCGAGTGAATCAAGATGCTTTACATCTTTACGATCAAAATAAGATTTTACCATTTTTAAATAAAAAAACTGAAGAAGTCACTTTCAACACCTCAACATTCGAAACATCAAACATCGGCTGTTAATTACGCACATTACCGAAGCTCCACAGCCTAAAAAATAGAAAAAAGAGAGATTGATGCAGTGGAGGATTAAGGACAAGCAGGTAATGCTGATGGTGTTTATCAGCCAACAGCACCTTACGACGGAATTTTTACCATGCTATCCATCAAAATAACAGATGACAAGAAAGTCTAACACAACCTCTGACTATGAGTCCAGCATTTTTTTGTACTTAAGTCACATTTTCATTGAGTGTGATTTCTCATTGTTGAAACCCTTTAAGTTCTGCAAAAAAAATCCCAAAACAACTCAGCACAATCCTGGAGAGTCTGGAAGGACAGAGCTTGTTCTCTGAGAGGTGAGAGACAGTGGAAGCAGTGAGAGAGACAGAGCAGTAAAGAGAGAAATGTGTGTTATTTTTGTGTGTTTAGACTGTAATTGTGTGAATTGGTACAGTACAAGAAAACAAACACGTTCACCAACACTCATTTCTGTCTCATCAGAAACAACACAGAGCTGCCGGGAGTGGGCAGCCGGAGGTGCATAACAATGAGAAAACTAAAGACTTGCTGACTTTGTCTTGCAGAAACTGTCAAAGCCTTGATTACCACAAAAAATAAGTACTAAACCTTTAAAGCATACATCTTTAGATGTAGCTAGGATAATATGTAAAATAAATACTGTGAAAAACACTCATCTCTGATGCCAACTGTTAAAAACAGCCCACGCGTGAGAAAATGTAAAGATTTCCAGTGCATTTCAGCATTTAAATGCTTACAGAGACTTTTTTTCTGGCCAAGTGTTTCAGGATTACTCAGGCTTTTTCATCCTGGGCCCTGTTCTCCCATGTCTTTGTATTACTAACTAACTAACTAACTAACTAACAACAGTTTTTTGAACTGGTCTAGTACTGAGAGAGCACTGAGGTCATCAAACACTTCGTCACTGTCGTCATCAGTGTCATGCCAGGTGTTAGAGAGCATTTTTGTGTTCAGAACTAATATTAATTTCACCACAATAACTAAATGAACTGATTTGTTTACATTCATACATATATACTAACTAGACTGTTGTAGGCACAATGCTGTATGAATTTAGATTTAGCGGTATTCCCTTCTAGACAGAATATATGAAGATAAATCCACAGTATATGACTTTAAAAGGATTATACGACATTATTTCATGTTGCTTTACTGTCAAACAAAGGCGCAATGAGATCACAACAATCATATTCCAGCTGAAGTGTCACTGATACTATAAAAAAGCACAATCCATGTCATTGGGGACATGACACTTAATTTCATCTGAACATGATGACTAATGTGTGTAATTAATATGTTTTACTTTTGTTTAAATTTTGGTGTTTTAACATGAAGTCACTTACTGCGGTTGTCTTTGCTCTGCAGGATGGGGGTGTAGAGGGTTTTGGATGTTCGTCCATCTGAGGTGGTGGTCGTCAACACTGTGGTGTTGTTCCTCTCTCCCTGCTGCACCGGGCTCGACTGGTGACGTAAGATATCCACCAGTGATCTGACACAGCAGAGGGCGGATGGAGGGATGAGGAGAAGAGAGGGTGAGGGGAAAGACAAAAGGTCAGGGAGAGGCAGAGAGGCAGAGGTGAGGAGAAAAAGAATATGAATACGGAGGAAGCAATTTATTGAGCCAACTCCAAAACCCACACTTCACTGTTTGTACAGTTGTTATTTTTTTATCATTTCTAAGTCACAAATTCACATCAATCCTTCAAATCAATCAAACTGACCTTTTCGTCAACACTCCAGTTAGCTGCCAGTTTATTTTTTGTCTAATTCCTGGATCTCAAATTTCTTGAAATTCCCTTCTTGCCTACTATTATTCAACACAGTAGAAACATTATTCTTCTGTGTGCGCACTTTCAGTAGAAAAATGGATGTGTTGCCACTATGTCTCTGCGTACATCTGCGTAAAGGCTGATTCCCTATAAGCCTCGCTGTCACTATGCAATTTTGTCTGCCACCAGGTATGATCTCCCAGAAAATAAAGGTTCGATTTATGGACACAAAGCAAGTGCGTAAACCACTGTGTAACCAAAACAAAAGAGGATAGCGCTTTTGTTTTCCCCTGTAGCTATCAGTAGCTGTCTCCAATTATCAGTTATTACTGTTACTGTTAGATCAGGCAATACGACATGCAGGTGATGGTCACCGCTCTTTGTTACGCACAACTCTTCCACTGCTGGGGAGGCAGAAACCACTGCAAACCAAGCTGTTTTGCAGCTTTTCTTTCCCTTTTGATTCAGTCCTTTAAAATCCCTGCCATCTGCACATTAGAACTGCCAGTTTTTAGGAAAAAAGAAAATAAAAAAAGAAAAAAAGCCCAAAATTATTGACTGGCCCAGCCCCAGTGGGTTGGGCCTGCGTCCAACCTCTGTGACGGCAGCAACAGAAAGTTTGCTGATTTTTCTTACGTTAGCTTTGAATTTTTGGAATCCTGACGCTAACTTACACAGTTTTCCATTGTATGCCAGTTTACATTCCTATTCTTGCGTAAGACTTTTTTTCAAGTAAGCAAGTATTGGAATATGGAAATTACTTAAAATGCCAATCGCTGATGTTCATATTCTTTATGTACTCTGGGTTTTGAGACAGGACAAGGTTAAGTGTATTACAGAAAAAGCAAAGGCAAACTCGTCCCCATATATTAAGGAACATCTGCGTTATAGAGACCTATGTTTGAAAGGCATTTAATAGGAAACAGACAAAGCCAGCAATGTTACAGTTTCCATGTTTGTCCACCAAGCTTCTCACATCATCTCACGTCCTGTCTGATATTGGCTCTTCTCCAGTCTCACCTCGATGTTCTCTGTTTTGCCTACAACATCACTAACAGTCAGTGAAGCCTTCACCCTGCCTGTCCCATGGTCTCACCTGGGCATGTTGATGTCCCTGTTGCGGGGTCGACGCGCCACCTTGCTGAAGGCGATCCTGACACCCACAGCCACCACCAGTGTGAAGGAGATCACACCTCCGATCACATAGGCCGTACTGTGTCCAGAGAAAAACACAACATTACGTCATTTAGCACAACAGTGGAGGAAAACGTTTAAAAGTTTTACCTTTGAAGTTATTTATGCTTGTTATCGTATTTCCTTAAATCCCTTTTTTTTTGCATGTCATTTGTTTCTGCCTTGATGGTGTAACATTTCTCATCTATTTCTATGACAACGTTTTCTAGTCTGGAGGGTTTTCATACTGTAATTTTTTGCATTTATACTATATAGCAGAGGCAAATAAGAGTGGGTGGTAGAAAAAGCACAAGGACTTTTGGAGGATGAATCATGTAATCAAGTCTAATTTGGCACTGTATTAAGATGCTGTTAACTTCTGATGTACAACTGGGAAATCAAAAATGTATAAGAGTGCAGTTTACAACAACAAATACTACTATTGCATTTTCTGATTGCTACTTGTATTACTCGTAATATTTCTACTTTTGGTAATCCTAAAATGTGGGGCATTGTGGTCTGTATTTTCCACAAGAATATAAATACATGATTGCAGGTAGCTAAAATACAGAACAGGAAATTAAGTATCTTTTCCTTCCTTTCAAATAAAAAGATAAAAAAATGGCCTTTAATTACTGATAGCAGTGACAAACGAGTTCAGACTCTGACCTGCTGTTGTGCTGCTGGAGCGTCTCGAAGTCTGGGTCAGGCTTGTTCCCCGGGGGCACAGTGATGGGGGCCTGCGGCTCAGCCCAGACGGGGGTGTTGTAGTTGTGGCAGGAGTTCTGGTCCAGTCGGTTCCTCTGGTGTTCGCAGCAGAACCGGTAGTGGCAGGTTCCGCAGCAGTAGATGTAGCTGCCCTTGGAGCAGTTGAACGTGCTGTCAAAGTGCCCCATCACGTCGAAGTAACCCCTGTGGAACAAAGTGGATATGGTTCACAAGAACTTCATGTCTTAGTCACATTTAGGATTCTTCTAAGAACTTGAAACCTGGTCTGGGTCACTTGGCACCTCCCATCATGAGCAGCAGTTTCTTTTAGTAAAAAATTTAATCCTCACTGATTCAGTGTCCACCAGAGACAGTTTTGCAATGAGCTAATGCACATTTTCTCATGGCCATTTTTGATCCAAGCCCATTACTTTTACCCTGATTCAGGGTTTCCCCACACATTCATTTATTTTCTTGCGGCCTGCTAAGACGAAAACATCTGACGCTATGTTTTTATTTTCTATTTTTGGAGCTGGACTGCTCATTAGGAGCACTGCTGGAATATATACCATTTGATTATTAATTGCTCTACACTCTCGGGGGGGCAGAGCACAGTTTGTGAACAGACGAAGCATAAGAACGGCAGGCACACTGAAAGTGGAACTTAACTGTTCATTGTACTGGGTCTAAAAGTTTGCCTCTGCAGCAGCTGCTCCTCTCATCCATCGATCTCATCTGATAGCTTTGATTGGATTGATACATCAATCATCTACCCCATGACTCAAACTCAACAAAAAAAATAGGAAAAACAATGAACTCATGAAGAGTTCTGCTGGCACTGCTTTCACGAACCCATAAAAAACTCAAACAACTAAACAGTAAGTACTTGTGCCCATCTGTTCAACCATGGATGTGCCATTGACAAACAAAAACATAGTCTAAGGTCAGAATGACACAGTATTTTACTGCTATTTAAAGGGTTCATTATTCAGATAGTAAGACGTGCCTACACAGGCAGGTTCACAACATGCTTACACTCTGCTTGTTATGGGTGATATATCACTAATGAGAGAAATATTGAAGGGGAAATACACCCATTTTCATTTCTCTTTCAAATCCAAAAGCTAGAGTGCTAAAACTCAAATCTTAAATGTTGTAGTGGTAAAGTCTGGAGCTGCTCCATAAACAATGACTGGTGAAAGATGTTATAGATGACACTGAGAGCACTCAGGGGAATGTTCTGAGTATATGGCTACATTTTCTGTTAGAATAAATCTCATTTGGGTATTAAAAAGAAAAACATAATGTGGGTCTACAAAATCAGGCTCCCATTCATTGTCCATGGACCAGCTCCAGATTTTATACCCTGTGACATCACATAAGTTTCAGACGTACCTCTCTTGTTTCTGGCTTTGACGGAGAGTAGCACAAATATTGATTGAACCTTCCCAGGCCATGAAAATAACGTACTGAATTTCTTAATTTGTGTGGTTTTCCCCTTTAACTACATTCTGTAAAATGTGAACGTAGCAGAGAGCAGAGCAGAGTTGCAGCATAACAACATTGATTATTTCACAAGTAAAAAGTTTATTTCTGTTTCCTCTGTCAAGTCTATACAGTTTTTGGTTTTGCTGCTTAAGTGTCCCTGATATTTGCTGCAATGACATCACTGCTCATACTGGGTTACTCTTATCGGAAAACCAGTTGGTTTTCCAATTTGCCAAATCCACTATATAAACAGCAATGGGCCCAGAGATTGTAGTTGGTTGACTTTATGTAACACCCACAACATACCTATGACTAATTAAGGGACTAAATACAACCCATTTGCCCCTTGTGTCTTACTTTGACCTGTTACATTTAACCAGCAATGGTGGAATTGGACACGCCCTAAATACACTTGAGACCATGCTCTATACATCATTTAAATGGGGCCCTCAGTGCCCTCCGTTTCCGTCACTCAGTGTGTCTTGTCTTGTTTGAGGACTGAGTAGATAAACGCTCTGCATCACCATGGATGTTTCTCCAATTTGAAGAGGGCAGGGTGCCACCAAAAATGCATGAACGACTAATAGCTCTAATTACTGAACAGCCGGAGCTATGATGTCATCTTACAGCCAGAAATGACATTTAAAGAAACATCAAGTTGAGGAGCTTTATGTAATGTTACTGTGCTGTTAATGCTGCTTAAGATCGCCTGAACGTAGCTGCTGATAGCTGTGGTGTGTGTGTGTGTGTGTGTGTGTGTGTGTGTGTGGCTGGCGAGCACACATCTGATGTAGAGCTGATTACATGTTGCCTGGCAACAGCCGGACGCCTCTCAGTGCAAAAAATATAAAGCTCCAGTGAGATGAAGATCAGAGCTGCTGCAGAAGGAAAAGAATCATGATGCGCATCGTTCTTTATGGCATCCAGTGTGATCAACGCATCACACAAATGGCAGTAACTGCGTGCTATAAAGAAGACGTAGCCCCTCTGCTGGGAACCACAGGTGACTTTATACGACGCACCTAAGGCCCATCACGTCTGGTTTTTAAATAAACAGTTTTTCTCAAGGGAGCAGACTGGATCTGAACTAGTTTTCACCTGGAATTTATGACCCCTTGAACCTAAAATTTGTTGCCAACAACAACAAAAGGTCGAGTAAAAGGACTCTTGCTTTGCAATGGTGTTTTTTAAATGCTGAATTTCAAAAGTGTCTAGTACTATATTTTAATTGATTTTAATCTGCCTTTTACATTCTCTATTCCCTAAAAGTTGGGACATTGTGTAAAACGTAATTAATAAAAACATTATGACCTGAATTCAGTTGAATACAGTACAAAGATATTAAATGGTCAAACTGATTATCTAACCTTTATTTTATATTATTTAACCTGCATATTTTTGTTAATATACACTTGTTCTGAATTTGATGCCTGCAACACGTTTCAAAAATGTTGGGACAGGAGCATGTTAACCACTGTGTGACATCACCTTTCCTTTTAACAACACTCAGTAAGTGTTTGGGAACTGAGGACACTAACTGTTTAAGTTTTTAAACTGAAATTCTTTCCCATTCTTGCTTGATCTACGACTTCAGTTACTCAACAGTCGAGGGTCTCCGTTGTCGTATTTTGTGCTTCATAATGTGCCACACATGCTCACTGGGAGACAGGTCTGGACTGCAGGCGGGCCAGTCTAGTACCTGCACTCCTTTACTGCAAAGCTACGCTGTTATAACACGTGCAGAATGTGTCTCCCTCGTCACTAGTCTCCCTGGAATAAACAGGGCCCTGAAAAAGAAGTCTTCTGGATGGCAGCATATGTTGCTCCAAAACCTGTATGTACCTTTTAGCATTCATAGACACCTTGAATGCTAAAAGGTGTCTTCATAGACATGGGGTTACCCATGATGCCATGGGCACTAACACACCGTCATATCATCACAGATACTGGCATTTGAACTTTGTGCTGGTAACAATCTGGATGATCCTTTTCCTCTTTAGCCCGGAGGACATGACGTCCATGACTTCCCAAAACAATTTGAAGTGTGGATTCCCTGAATCATTTGATGATATTATAGATTGTAGATTGTGAAATCCCTAAATATCGTGCAATTCAGCGTTGACAAAGGTTCTCAAACTATTTGCCCACACAGTTTTTCGCAAAGTGACCATCCCTGGTTGTGAACTACTGAGCCTTGCAAGGATGTCCCTTTCATACCCAGTCATAATACTATAATTTGTTACAGATTAACCTGTCTATCTTCATTTGTTACCGATGAACCTGTCTATCTGTGGAATGTTTTAAACAGATGTTTGTTGAGTGTCCCACAACTTTCCCAGTCTTTTGTTGCTCCTCTTCCAATTTTTCTGGAACATATTTCAGGCATCAAATTCAGAAAAAATGCATATTTACAAAAACCAAAAAACTATATCAGTTTTAACACCAAATATCTTGTCTTTGTACTGTATTCAATTGAATATAGGTCAAAAAAGATGTGCAAATAATTGCATACTGTTTTCATTTAGGTTTACAAAGCATCCCAACTTTTTGGGAATCGGGGTTATAGTACTCAAAAAGAAAAAAGAAAAAAAAAAAAAAAAGCTCACTGATTTTCTGAAAAATAAATAAATAACTAAATTAATAGCCACAAAAATAACCTCATAATATCACACAACAGGAAGTAGTTTTGTAGCTGTACCTGCACACGTCCACATCCACCAGCTGTCTGGGTGGTGGAGCCACCTGGGCCGCACCGAGCGGAGGCTTCAGGGCGTCAGCTGTCACATTCCTTGGCAACATGGTCTGAGGGAGGGGCTTTGGAGGGAGCTCGGCCATAACTGGTGGATCGTCTCCATCCTCCACCTCAGCTGTTTTTGGCGCCACTTTGGCCCCGGCCTTCAGCGGCGGCAGTGGTGGCTTGTAGCCAGTCAGGAGGAACAAGGTGGTGCTCCTTTTATCGGCTGCAGCGGAGCTACTGCCGCCGGTCAGAATCCTGACATCGCTGTCAACAGCACGTCGCTCCGTGGTGATGGTAACCGTGGAGACAGCGAGGCAGGAGAAAAGCAGGAGGGACAAGCAAAACATCCCTCTTAAAGTTGTACGTTTCATCATTTTATCACAAAGTTCTTGAGCCGTTGTTAAAAAAAAGTCACATACACAGCTCTTACTGTGAATTGTCAGCGTCCTCGTCAAAGATGGCGGCTTCCTGACTTATAAAAACCTTTTCGTATGAAAAGTCTGATCCTTTTTGGTTCTGCACACACTGCACAGAAGCAAAGGGTCTCTCCTGGAGTTTCACTCAGTTCAAGCGATGTATCATGAATGTGTTTGGCATGTCACTCTTTCAGCTTAGTGTAAACATTTCTTCCTGTGTACAAATCCTTCAGTTAAGCAGCTTTTGTAAACATTGAGGTCTTTCAGAGTTTTTAGGCCTTATACGAACTGCCTGTGAAATGGCTGTAGTTCTGAAATAATCGATTTAAATGAAAACTTTAACTGATTATAAATATAGAATAATGTGGTCTGTTTTATGGCAGCAGGTGTTGGATATTTAATTTTGGTCTGTCGGTTGACAATTTTACAGTCTGTTGGCCAAAATCTTTAAAATAGGCAGTAATTTTTTTACATTTTCTGTAAACAAAATGAGAAAACTGTAAACTCTTTAATTATAATAACTCATCCACAAAAGAGTCTCTTATTTCTCCTACTGACAAGTTTTCTTGGGAGTTGTTTATGGCACGAAAGTTACGATTCACATAAGAAACTGCAATGGAAAATGTAGTCTGTAAACATTTAGCGTTGTATGTAAACTTTATTTTTTCCACTTGTTGAGCTTTAACAGATGTTGGGTGTTTTCTTGTTCAGAGTTTGGCACTTGTCCTGCGTGGATAACCGTTATGTAAAATCATACATGGAAAAATGCTTCTTTTTTTTTTAAATCAAATCAAATATCCGAGCAGTGTGTGTCTCGTGTGTGTAAACAACAGTGCTGGCAGCTTCAGGGATCTCCACTTTGTTTAGTGGCAAAGCTGAGAGGAAGTCTGAATTTGGCACAAGCTGTGACTTAAATTTGTTTTTCTTTACATCATGTTCACAGTTTGCCAATAAACAAACTCTTCCCTTCAAAAGATTTAGAGGAAGAGAATTGGTAAAGGTCAATATGCTTGAGATTTTGGTTTAAAGTACAGTAGAACAGTGGATTTAGAAGTTGCGGACAGTGAGTTTGACTAATAAAGCTGCAAAATCAACATTAAGCAGCATCAAAGTCCTTCCAGCAACTACTGGTGGACAGTCCAATAAATGAGCATGTCAAGGCATTCACAACAGAGTGTTCAAGAGTAGGAAACTGCTGACGAAAATCACAGAGGGGGAAAAAAAAACAAAAAAAAACAAAACGTGAGGATCTATGTGCGTTCGATACTCTTGTGTGAGTGTCTTTGCTCTGAATTTAGCTTGGCCCAACAGAAGAGAACGAAGGAGGGCTTGGGCCCGGTTCTAGCAGGGCAGCGAGGTTCTGCCCACAGAACAGACATGAAAATGTCCGGATTCATCCGTCAACGCAGAGGGACACGGGGGCAACAACGGGAACTCGCGATCACTGCCACGCTTGACACCGCAGGCCACCGGCTCACAGATTTAGTTCAATCCTAAGACACGGGTAGAAAAAAAAAAAACCTCACAAAGCTGTTCTTTAATCCAAACATATGAAATTTTAAGATTCTTCTCAAGAACAGTTTCCTCATTGACTCCCTGAATGTGCACTGATGTGTTTAAAGATCACTTTGTTGGAGGGATCTTAAACATTGTGAGGTGTATTGTACATGACAATTTGTATGGCTGGTGTTCAGTATGGCTTTAGGTTATGTTCTTACAAACTTCACCAATAAATGTTAATACAGTGACAGGTTTTAAATTGCATGTTTGTTTAGTAGAATAAAAGGAAGAATGCAAAAAAGCTGAAGAGGTCACTGGGATTAGATAAAGGGGGGGCTTTCAGGTTGTTCAGTGTAATCGAGCGCCACGTGTGGAAGAAACAGAAAACGAAAAAGAGCGAGAGGCCTCTCTCTTATAAGCAACTGGAAGAAGGAGATAGGCAAAGTGTCAACAGTGTTTCACAGCACGGACTGAGATGACGGTATATCTCCGAGCCTTTGAGATAGCAGCAGCAGCGGCGGCAGCAGCGGAGCCTGTATTTATCAGGTTAGAGGAGGCTTGTGTTGCCCGTCAGTCAAACGCCATCCTGCCGAAGCCTTAAAGTGTTCAGACGACGTCAGAGCAGAGTTATCACTGCGTACCACGCGCTTCTTCTGCAACACACAACTACAAGCCAGAGAATCTGTTTATAAAGCACTTTGAACCAATAATGCACTGATCATCGTCTCTCAGTTTCAGCATTAAGAGCAGCAGCTATGCAAACACTGACAGAAGACAATGGATATAAAGTTTGTTAAAATGTGCTGAGATGAATTTGTTGAGATTAAATATGACTTAAATGGGATCTAGGGTGTTGTAATGTTTTTGTTGATTGGGAAAGAAATAAAGCTGCACTCTATTTACTAAATCAGGTTTTCAAAGCTGAATTACTAAAATTCTTATGGTGGTTAGTTTCGTAGATTTTTTGCTTCTTCTCGTGACACAGTCAGTTTGGCACCTGGTTTTGGTCTTGCTTAGAACAAACAGCGGACGAGAAGGGGCAAGGTCTGTAGCCTTAAATCCAAACGATAACAAGAAAGTAAAAATAGTGGAAAGGGAAGCAGGAACAGTTAGAGAGGAGCCTCAGCTTTGAAAGCAGCTGAGCAGCCCCTAAACATTCTCCATGTGGTGCAGGAGGACGGTCCTGTTGTGATCCAAAGTGGCTCCTTCCTGTTCTTCTTCAAGTTGTTTCTTTCTCTCACAGGTTCACATCCACTTGTTCATCAGTTTTCACACTGAAAGAAAAGAGCACAACATGTTTGTAAGGATGCATTTAGTGGAGTAGATGTTGATGTAAAGGTTTGTTAAAAAAGAATCTGCAATCCCTGGTATCTTTTAACCCCATTAAATTCAAAATTATCAAGTTAGTTTGTTTCCACCTCTTCTCAAACAGACAAGAGTTCATTTCTGTAATATGATAATATCAAAACTTCTTGATAAAATAGCATTTGAACTTAATCTGAACTCATGTCTAACATATTGGTGCATAAATTTATGGTAAACCTGAGGTACGCAGTTATACTGTGGAGTCATTGGGCAAAAATCCTATAATAATCTTTGAACATATTGTAATTCAAGTGGACTGAGAGAAATCTAGACTTCTGCATCTGCTCTTGGTTCTGTTTTCAGGCTTTAGAAATTTTGGCCCGTGACAAAAGACTTGGGCCAATCACAGGTCCTTTCAGAGAGAGGGCATTCTTATTGGCTGTTGCATACACGCCCCTCCAGTAAAAGTCTGATTCAATGGCGGAAAATCCTGCATTGGCAGCAACTGCCTACAGTGTCATTCAACCTAGAAAGAAAGACAAACTCATCAAAAAGAAAGAGATTCTGATAGCAAATAAACAAAACAGTCCACCTTTATGTAGCTAACATTAGTTACAGCCTCGAATCGCGTTGTGTCCTCCGCCAAACTCCCCGCCACTACAGACCACCTTGCCGGGAGGAAAGCAGGCAGCAGCTCCAGAGACAGACTCCCAGTCAGTGGCAACAACAACCCAAATCTAGCTAGTGGAAACCCCAGCTCAGGGGGAACGGACAGCCTCAACTCCCCGCCAGATCAGCAAACTTTCTGTTGCTGCTGTTACACAGGTAAGACCGAGGACTGCAGCTAGCCACCAGCCCTCTGTGACACCTGGCAATAGGGGAATTCTGCAGGCTGATTTTATCCATCCCCTGAGCTGCTGCTAGCTCTTCTCCTGGGGAAGCAGTTGACAGTGGCGGGTAGTGAGGTGGAGGGTTAGTATAGTAGCTAAGTCTTGTCTCATTTGTGGCCTGATAAACAGAAAGAGAGAGTGGTCAAGGAGGGGCTGATTGAATGCACTGCATGCAACTCAACAATGACATAAGATTAAACAAAGTGATCTATGGGAAACACAGGGTTACTGTATGAAGCAGCGGCATGTGCCAGTGGTCATCTGGTGGGATGGGCTTAGAGGGAAGAGCTGCAAGTTCTGACTTTTTTTTTTTTTTCTTTTCTTTTTTGGCCTTTTCCAGATATCTGCCTAAAATTTTGAATTATTTTCAGGGAGCAGATAGATATGTTTTGTTTCATGTCACTTGAACTTAGCATTTAATAGTTTTGATACGGAGGTAACAAAAAATATGTTACTGAGTCTTTGATGTGAGTCAGTATTGCAGCTTGATATATGACTTCACTGTGTAACTAAACACATTTGTACCTCAAAATGGCAGCAAGAGACAACTACTTGGACACATCTAACTCCAATACCCAGAATTCTTGTGATGTGATGTCATTAAACTGCACACTGCTCATTCATACTGCAGCAACTCTGTGATGTTTTACTGCACAGAAAACCAAGCAGGTGAATGAGGACAACAATTTAATGTTGCTTTAGATGTTGCTAAGAAATTTAGCTGGGTCACTTCCTCTTCTGAGAAGTAAACGCACACTAACACACACACACACACACACACACACACACCACCTAATATGAAGGACACTGGTACAGAAAGTCTGTGATTTCGGCTGCGAGGTCAGGGGTAATTTTATGTAATACTACTGTTGCCTTGAGCCGCTTTCAGTACAGCTTCTTTAATGCTTGATTAAACCTGAAATTCTGCTTTAGCTGAAGACGTACAGCACATACTAGTTCCTACAACACACACACACACACACACACACATATATAAAACATCAGCTGACAGAGGAGATGGGAGCAGCCATGATCTGACTTTGATAAAAAGAGAGCAGGCGACATGACAGCTGCCATATGGATTCATCTGACAGAAGGACAGAGGAAAGAGAGACCACAGATGTGTGTGTGTGTGTGTGTGTGTGTGTGTGTGTGTGTGTGTGTGTGTGTACGTGCTCTGTTTACAGAATGAGGCCTGCAGCATCAGGGATGGGAGGGGTTCAACATAACACTGCTGTCAGGAAAAAATTAGGGCTGCAGTCAACAAAAGAAAATCTTGGTCGACGGAAATCCTACTCTCTCTTTAACCAAACAGTTGGTCGATGGGGGAGAAAATCTGCACGTTATCTCTAGATTAAATGAATCGGCCACAGTGCACTCTTCCTGGTAGCATTGTGTGTCCACCAAAACAACGTTTTTTTCCGGAGGCAAGCGTTGCAATGGGACTCGGGAGCACTAGGGTTGGGTACTGTCCAAATTACACTGGCACTACTGAGTACCAATTCATGTTAAATCTACTGCTGCAAAATTTCAGTACCTGAGAGCACATCTGCGTGTGAACGCTGCACCCCAAGCCCCATGTTCCGTGGCTGCTCCATCAGCTTTCCAGCAAGCCAATACGCTTATCTGCTACACAACTACTACTATTAGTACTATTGCACTACAACTATTTTCTTTTCTGAATTATCTTAGCAACAGCTTAGTATCACTGCTAGACTAGCAGACACACATACAAGCACCCACAAGCAGACAGACCCAGACGATTAACTCTGTGTGTAATTAGAGAAGAGCAGGGGAGTAGTCTTGCCTTTTAGTCTACTACATCGCCCTATAGCTTGTTCAAAAATTACATTTTTGTCATTACAGGGAAAGTAAAGTACCAAAATAAAGGTACTGTTGGGTACTGGTTCAAAATTCCAGGTCCCGGAACCAGTAAGGTAACACCAGCATCCAACTAATGATAATTTGGTTGGACATATTGCGTATTGACCAATCAACCAGAAGGTGTCAGCCCTTGGCTCTCTCTCGCAACACCAGAATTTTTTGTGTAAATTGTATCTTTTCTTACTCATATTTAATACATATATGTATGCAAGTATGGTCTACAGCAGTGGTTCCCAACTGGTCCAGCCAAGGGATCCAGATTTGTCTTTAGTTATTAGTTCTAGGTCCACACAATTTATAATATTCACCATCCTACTAGCGTTTGGCCATGTCATCGAGCTAGTTTGCCATCTCTGTCAAGAACCTGTCTGTTACACACTAATCCAGCAAGTGTGTTTATTACAAAATTGATGTGTTTGTGAGTCACCTGCAGTCCACTCAGAATGGACCCATGACCCACCAGTTGCGAACCACTGGTCTACAGTACTGTATGTACTGTATATAAAGTTTAGCATTGTCCTCAGGAAATCTCATGAGAGGAAAGGTCTGAGGCACGCCTGAAGGCTAAACACAAACAATTAACACACGACTTGCAACAATACAATTGGATTGTAAGAACACTATCACCATCAAAACTACACAAATTTAATTCCAATATGCCAGACACATGCTTCAAATGAAACAATGCTGAAGGAACACTCTTTCACTTCTTGTGGGAGTGTAATGTGGTCAGAAGTTTTTGGAAGGAGGTTCCTGGCATGGTTAGCCAGATAGCAAATTTAGAAAACCCTTGTCAGCAAAAGCTGTGCATTTTGGGTATTTATCCGAAGAGATTTTATTACTAAGAAGAGTGGCCATGCACTAATAGACTTATGTCTCTTACAAGCTAAAAGAGTAATAGCTATAAAATGGAAAGATGTGAACAAAACAAGTATAAATCAGTATATTACGGATTTATCAACATGTTGCTATGAAAAAGCCGAAATATATTACTAAAGGAAAGCTGGCAGCATTTATATATATCTGGGGGAGCTTCATGGACTTTTTGAAACAAAGACTGGAGTGGGGGCGGGGCAACTGAATTATGATTATAAAGTATAGTAGCCCATGTTTACTTCAAGATCACTGTTCACCACTGTAACATTGTTTACTCACCTGTTTTCAAGTTTTCTTTTGTTTTCTTTTCCTAGTTTGCCTTTTCATTTGATAAAAACTGACCATTTTATTTATATGTAATATATTTTATAATTGAAAACCCCATTAAAACATTGTTTTAAAAAAGAAAAAACAAAAAGACGAATATATGTTGGAATGTATCCTGATATTAGATTAAGAATTTATCTACAATCGGGCAAAATGTCACGTCAAGTAAAGTTTTCTGTTAAGCTTTGTGTTTTTGTTGACATTAGCTCATTTTAATGCATTAAACTGTGCATCACTTCCTGTATGAGCTTTAACAATTGATAAAATCCTTTGCTGCTGAATGATTTGGTTGTACTGAAACATATCATGGGCAATAATGGATTGTATTACCAGACTGATAAAGGAGAGCCACTCAGAATACAGGCATTACATGTTACTAAGAATGAACTTTGAGTGACTTAGTTTAAAACACTATAATAATAATAATAATAATAATAATTTCAGGTTTCTAAGAGTGCTTTTGTTTTCAGGGAAGACCCTCCATAATGATCACATCATCAATAGCCTCCATGATGAAAGCCTGACATACAGGTCTAACAATGACCTAACTGCACCTGACAGAAGCATCAAAGACAAAACATGTAACAGGACATCAGAGGCTGATCAGAAAAACATGACAAAGGGAGACAACAATCATAAAGTGGTAAATAACCAAAAACAGGACCATGATGAGTGTAAGTGGAGGACACAGATAAATGAGAACAGGATGTTCTGATCCCAGGGTTGAAGAGTTGACGGTAACTTATTTCCTGAATCACAGTAACCTAAATAGCCCAGTCCTCTCTGCTGCCGTGACAGCCTGGCTTCACGTCAGCATGTCTCGACCCTCCGAGGCTTTTCCCGACCCGCTTCCTCAGATGTTGTGATTAAGAAGCCCCCGCTGACAAACAGCTAAACTTCCACTGGCTTTCGAGGCAATGAGTGCATTCATTCTATAAAAATGAATAAAGATAATCCAACTGCAAATATATGTGCACACAAATAGACAAACA